TATAGATTGCTGTCCTGGTATGTGATCAGGTCAAAGACAACATGGTTATCTTCCTCATAAGCATTAATGTGATGGAAGATCACAAATGGGTCTGCGTAGTACTTTGTGCTCACAGTTTTCCAATTGATTTAAACAGAGTTAAATCATGACAACTCTCTCAATAGTTTTAGCATGTTAACGGATAAGATGTATTTGGTTTAGATCTGCAACATGCTGCTGCTGCAGAGCAAGTATGGACTTGCTACTTTCAATAGATACACAGACACACTGCTATGAGCATGTAAGATACATAAATCCTGTAGCAGCTCTAGACAGGTGGAGCTGGGGGAGTTGGAGGTTCTTAAAGGAACTCTGATAGCATGTTGCAGGACCAGCTTACAGCAAACACCGAATCAGACTGTTTTAATGTTGAGCAAGCAATCTCATTGGCTGTAAAATCAGCAGAGGCCAATCAGCTTGTGCCATGTAATAAGTGTTGTGACTGCTGCAGATTGCATTTAAAGGACCTATCAGCCTGCACCATTATGACTGAACTAGCTATTTGCTTTTAAATCTTTTATTATGCAGAAACATTACTAATATACTCACCATCATCTTCTTCAACAGCATCTGGAGATGCCACAAACACTGGCTCAGATGGGTAACATTCCTCCTCGATCCACACTTGATGTGTCCTAGTAGCTATGTCCACTTTTGCAATCTATATAACAAGAGCTAATGTTGCTAAATTATTGCATTTTATTGGTGCCAGTGATAGCAAGATAATAGGTTTGAATAATTGCAAATGTCCAGAATGCTAGAAATATTTACCTTGCTTGGATATGGCGACCACTCCACCCTGGTGCCATAGAAGTACCTGTACTTCTTACTGTTGAATTTGTAATTGATCCCTGGTAATTCTAAACCTGTAATCATACAATAATGGTCAGAATTAGGGAAAAAAATATTTAAAAAATGTGAAAGTTCTGAATATAGGAATCACCCTCAAAAATAGTGTCAGGGGTGCAGTAGATGGAGCCGTCCTTCTTCATCACTGCTTTGGCTGTTGTGTCCTGCAATCTGACCAGATTGGTGTCTGGTGGAGTTTCCTGATAGCATGACAGAAAATGTTTGTTTTTCTATGAAAAATCACAATTCCGTTTGAATCTATTAAATGGTTTTGATGCAATTTATAGTTATCTAAAGAAATGTGACCCTGGACCACAAAAGCAGTCTTAAGTCGCTGGG